TCCGCATGGCGCCACCCCGGGCAGACGAACGCCTCCGGCTCGGCTCGCGTTGCTGAGCTCGATCTGGTGCAGATTTCGAGACGAATAAGTTTTGGTTTGCTCAGTATAACAACATGAGTTGGAGGGAATGCGGCAGATAAGGTAAAGCACGATACCGCTGTGGTCGAGAACGTGGGGTCTCTCTCTCTTATCCGCCTATGCCATGTGGGCCCCATCTAAACTCATTATGCTATCCTGTTTCGTGTGATTTTTTGTTTTTAGAAATCACTGTGAACAATTATTTACGTATTGGTGTCGCTGGGTTGGTGGATGCTTTGGTGTCGTTGGGTTTTCGCCCCATGATGAACTGCCCGATGACGGGTGTTTGTCGTGGGGTTTTCCAGCGATGCTTTGAGCCCGCTTCCCCTTTCTAAGTTTTCTGGGTGGTCATGTTGAACTGATGTTATTTCCGTTATGAGAGTAATGAAAAGGGGTAATGCCCGGTTCAAAAAAAATTATTTACATATTGTGCTACATGTGGCTTTAGATTAAAATAAGCAAGAAATTTACCATAGACATGTTTATCTCTTCGAAGATCACATGTTCGGTACTTTATTTAGAGTTCTTGTGTTTCCTCATTTCCTGCGTTACAACCGGCTCGCTGTGAAAATTTATGTGTTTCTCATTCATCTGTTTTTCATGTGAACTACTTTCGTATTTCTATATTTTTTTGTTCCTCCGCATTTCCAAACTGGCCTAAGAGGAGAAGCATCACCGAGCACCAATGCTTATGGCCCAATCCTATGATTAGTTGGTGCATGCATAAAAGCAAGGGACTCATCAGTTGGCACATTTTCTCCCTCTATCTCTCTCTCTCTTTCTATCCTTTTCTCCCTCACGCGGTGTGGGAGTTGAGGTCGACATATTTAAGGGAGAAGAAGAAAGAGAGCTAATGATAGGCGGCCAAAAAGGTATATCCAAAAGTTGTTCACGACTTACAATGACTTTTCTTTTTGTGAATTCAGAGACAATTTTGTGCTTTAGTATTTTTCCATGGTTATCACCATATCTCTAGGAAAAGGACCACCCCAATTGATAGTTTTTTCGCAAAGTTCTATGACGCAAAATTAAGCATAGACTTATTATCATTGATCCAATGGTACACACAAGGCACCTTAAGATCTTTGAAATATTACCTCGTTTGTATGTGTATGGCGTCGAAGCAGTCCCCAATTTGTGCTTCCCAACATCCTAGTCATACATGATGCAACCATCTCCCCCAAATTTGGGATGCATCTCTAAGTAGGTAGTATCAAACACATGAGAATGATACCAATCAATTCATTATGTGTTATGTCCATGGTTTTTCAATCTTTGACATGACAAAACGAAGTGACGACTAAAGAAAGATAAGCACGCCATAGTTGACACATTGATTTGTGTTCACATTAGTTGGTTGGCGGCGAAGATTTAACCAAGCCTAGGTCAATATATGGGATAAGAGAACTAGTCAATAGTTAATGAAATTCCTTTGAATGGATGAGGCATCTAAACTTACATGTAGTTAAAATATTTAACTTAGACAATTCGACTTTTGTTCTCTACACAAATAAGGATGGGCATAGTACATAAGGTACACCGAAGCAGTTACTCACATACTCGCATTACATTTCGCCGCGTCATATACACGTAAAAACCAGAGTTTGTGGTCCCATCACGAACCAGGTTACAAATGAGCAAAGAAATGTGCGGCCACTACCCAGTGAGATAAGATGAGAACCAATCAATGATGCATTATTTCACGTTTCAGATTGAGGAAACAGTTAACTGCGAAGATGTCCAGAAGGGACCAGACTCGTACACACAATCCGGCTCCATGCACGTTGTCACACAGTAAAAGTTATGGACTATTTGTTGACGAGTGCTGCATCATAGACTCAGTGACCTCTTGTATAGCTAATGCATGTGTCACAATTAAAGGAGTAGACAAACAATTTCACCCAAAAAAATGAAGTAGACAAACTGAAAAGCATACATAACTGAGTTTATTTGCCATCTATATCGTGGAGAATCATTACAGCCATATATACTTCTTATTTTATAATAAAATAAAATAAAGTTAGAAGCGCTTTGTTTGTACACAACATGTAGTGCAAAATTACACATGTTTCAAAAGAACAGAAGCAATCTGGAACTGTTTATGACCAACTCTAGTTTTCAAGCTACATCACAAGATGAATGTGCGCTACAGGATTTCGTTACGCTCTACCAGCAAACTTGCTTCTTTTCAAGCACAAAACCTTGTATACATGCAACAACTGCGTCGGAACTTACACAAATTACGGTGAGCGATCATCCATGCACACGCGACAAATTGTAATCCTTAGAAAAGACTAGAAAGGCAAAGTACTTAACTAGTTTCAACACATACAACCTACAAATATTACAAGAAAACACACCCCCAGAGATTGTGCCAAGAATAGGCAAGTTGGCCCAGCTAGCTACGGTTGGTTGAACATTGTGGCTGGGACCAAGTTGACGTATGTTGCAGGGTAGAGGTCGACGAGTGCCTCTCATGTCCTTTTGCTGCGGTGACTGACAAATAATGGATGAGTGGCTGACAATAGGCACGTCCCCACTTGGTAGATCCCCATGATCTCTTGGACTCCCACATACAGACAATTCATCTGTGTTTATCATATACTTACATCATTTCTACATCGTGAAATCTTAATCTTATCCTTTGCCCCACCAGGAAATAAAGAGCAAAAGACCACACACATCAATGAAAACCATAGGCACCATTGATGAGTGTTGTACTGTGTGTCCTATTAATATCTAAATGTATGCAAATGAATTAATTCATCTTGTAAAAGATGGCAATCCTTAGTTAGAAATAGAATTCGTGCATATCGGTTGTGGACTCTACCGCAGACATATTGACTGTGTCTCCCGCTTCTTTAGGGTCATGTGAAGATTGAAAGCAATTTAAGCTAGAATTGGTAGTACAGTAAAAGTAGGGGTTAGGCAGATTGATATACCTCAGCCAACCACTTCCAGAGTGAATAGTAGGATAGGGCAGCCAAACCCATAGCTTTCCCATCAAGCACCAAATAAGAGATGCTTGCATGATGTCAATACGCAATAGCCAGCCAGAAAAATTTCGTATTGGGTTCATCCCAGTAAAAGTATGAGGTCAAACTAACTAGTGACACATGGTGCTAAGTACCAAGTAGCAATTTAGTCAGTTTAAGAAAAACTCATTGGGTTCATGTTCACTTGAACCCAACACTTACATTCCAGATTAGCCCCTGATGTAATACCAGAGTCATATGCGTGGACAATACAGCCTGCGTAAAAGCCCAGATCTGGACCTGACTCACCAACCTCCAGCCACCAGCCAGAAATGGAGCACCACAAGCTTGCCTGCGAAAGCAGTGTGGGCAAACGACGGCAGGCATCAAGAACACACACATAGAGTCATCATGCTCACGATCATCGTCTGTCAATTATGATGACTGAGATAAGAACGGCCGCCCGTCAATTATGATTGATCGAGTTAAGAGTGCTCAATTTGTGGGGTACTAATCTGCTGCTTAAGTTGCTGCCATGTTGTCTCAGGCGTCATTCGGGAGAGAGGAGCTTGGGGAGAACGACATACTGATTAGTCTTCGCTCCACCATCTCATAGCGGCGAGAAATATCCTAACACGACTGTCAACCGTCACCATCTCGGGGATAGAAGCAGCGGATTAGGATCACGGATTACCTTATCTACCTGCTAACCCTCCTCACTTTTCATATTATAGCACAACATCTCGAGGTTCATGAGAAGTTATAAATCGATTTGCACCACTGCGATAGAAATATATGATTCGATAGAAATATATGATTGTTGAAATACTTACATAAGCATAACTGCATAAGCAAGAGACCACTTTCTGCCTTCCCGAGGGTTCTAGTATCCTATCTGTCTTTATGATAACCTGTTCCAGGCAAATCTGGCAATCCATTCAGTTTAAATATATGGTGAGATGATGTAACTACCATGTAATAAGGAAATCTTCATGTTACCTGAAAATGGTTACATTGTCACACTGGTAGGGTCTGAGACCATATTGCAGATGTCAGTTTAACCCACATATATGTTTACTGAGATATCAAAACCGTTCTGAAATAAAATCTGAATCCTGTAGACTTGAATCGCACTAAAAGCCCAGATCTGAACCTGCCTCGCCAACCTCCAGCAACCAGCCAGAAATGGAGCACCACAAGCTCCCCTGAGAAAACAGTATGGGCGAAGGACGACAAGCATCAAGCACACACACAAGAGAGAGTCATCATGGTCACGATCATCGTCTGTCAATTATGATGACTGAGATAAGAACGGTCGTCTGTCAATTAATGGTCGATCGAGTTAAGAGTGCTCAATTCGTGGGGTACTAATCTGCTGCTTAAGTTGCTGCCATGCTGTCTTAGGTGACATTCGGAAGAGAGGAGCTCGGGGAGAGCGACATACTGATTAGTGTTCGCTCCACCATCTCACAGCAGCGAGAAATATTCTAACATGACTGTCAGCCGTGGCCATCTCAGGGATAGAAGCGGTGGATTAGGATCATGGATCACCTCATCTACCTGCTAACCCTCCTCACCTTTTCATATTAGCACAACATCTGGAGATTCATGAGAAATAATAAATCGATTTACACCACTGCAAGATAAATCTATGATTCAACAGAAATATATGATTGTTGACATACATACATAAGCATAACTGCATAAGCAAGAGACCACTTTCTGCCTTCCCGAGGGTTCTAGTATCCTATCTTCGTCTTTATGATAACCTGTTCCAGGAAATTCTGGCAATCCATTCAGTTTAAAGAAAATATATGGTAAAATGATGTAACTACCATGTAATAAGGAAATCTTCAAGTTACCTTAGAATGGTTCAATTGCCACATTGATAATGTCAGACAATATATTGCAGATGTCAGTTTAACCAATATTTTTTTTATTGAGACATCAAAACCGTTCTGAAATAAATTCTGAATCCTTACAAAGAGTATCATCATTGCTCTCTTTTTCCATGAATGTAACAAGAATTTCCATCATTTGTCGCATATTTGTTGATTGTTGGAGCAAAATATCATTGGAGACAAATGTCTGAACCTTTCCCCCTATTTCTATCCAGCTACAACCAGGCACCTTGTTGCTGCACACGTTTCTCATAAGACTTCTTACCGTTGCAAGCTCACTCCAAGCTCCTGCAGCAGCATAAGCGTTAGATATAAGCACGTAATTTGCTGGCTCGTTTGGCTCCAGACCGAGTAGCCTATCAGCAGCCCACTTTGTCAACTCAATGTTGCCTCGTGTCTTGCAGGCAGCAAGGAAAGCTCCAATTACATCAGTGTTTGTTTGGCAGGAGATGTTGAGTAAAATGTTGTAGGCTTCCTGAACCCTGCCAGCTCTCCCTAGGAGATCAACCAGACAAGCAAGATGCTGTGGACATGGATCAATTTGGTAGTCCGTCGTCATTAGAAGAAAATACTTTAGGCCATGTTGAATGAGTCCAGCATGGCTGCAGGCAGAAAGAACTCCAAGAAACGCAATGCCATCAGGCCGCACGCCTTGTTGGAGCATTCTTTCAAACACATGGATTGCGCTCTTGGCACACCCAAGGTAGGCGAAAGATGAAATCATGGATGACCATGAAACTATGTCTGGGCTATGGATGGCAGCAAATGTCTGTGTTGCTTGTTGAAGAAAACCATTCTTACCATAGGCCATGATCAGAGCGTTGGCTACTTGCAGAAATCCTTGGAAGCCCCTTTTGAGGGCATAAGCATGAAGCTGGGTAGCCTCATAGGCAGCTGCCATGTTGGCACAGGAACTAAGCAAACTGGCAAGCGTGAGCTCGTCAGGCCGACAACAGCACCCATCATCATTCCTGAGCATGGACACGAAAATCTGCAGTGCTTCCTTGCCTCCATCATGGTGGCCATAGCAGACAATGATGGCATTCCAGGATACAGAGTTCCTTAGCAGCATGGCGTCAAACACCCGTCGAGCATCAGCGACCCGGCCGCACTTTGCATACATGTCGAGGAGCGCGGTGGCGACGACAAGGTCCAGCTGGAGGCCCAGCCTGAGAACAAGGCCGTGCGCCAGGAGCCCCAGGAGGTGGCCGCAGGAAGAAGGAGGAGCGCGGACGCTCAGCAAGGTACTGAAGGTGAAGCCGTCGCCCGAGAGGCCGGAGTTCCTCCGCATGGAGGCGAAGAGGGCCCATGAGTCGAGCAGCAGGCCATGGGAGGAGTAGCAGGAGATCATGACGTTCCAGAGAACGAGGTCCCTGTGCGGCGTTTCGTCGAACACCCTGCGCGCGTGCGTGACGAGGCCGGATTTGGCATAGGCGTCGGCGAGCGCGGTGGCGAGGCGAGTGTCGGAAGCGTGGCCGGACTTCACGAGGAGCGGGTGGATGCGCGCGCAGGCGTGGCGGGCAGTGGCGCCGGCGGTCACGCGGAGGAGAAGACGCAAGAGGAAGCCGCGCGGCCACATCAGACATGCTTTGTCCAAAATTCTTAGCAACTCCCCACCAAGCACCAAGGCACCAGCCCTGTGTTGAGCAAGCGGAGATGAGAGAACGGCCACTGCAGTCTACGGAGCCCGGCAGCCCCTGGACTGGAGCAACTCCTACGCGTTTTGTCCGCTTGCTTTTTTTCATTTATAAGTTGGTTGCTTGCTCGTCGTCTTCTTCTGTGTTTGGATCCGCCGTGCGTTAAGTCAAGGAAGCATTTTCGTCCTCGCGAACGGTCTATCATATTTTTCTGCAAACATACGAAAATTTGATCTTAATTTACATAATTTTAAAAAATACGAATATCTCAACCAAATAAATATCTCATAGTTTCCAAGTCAAATAAAATTTAAATTATCTCAAATACGTTTAAAAAAAGATAGTGGATACATCTATTGGTTGCCTACGTGGACCCACATATACTCAACCAAATCATCTTGCAGCTGAACGTGAGTTTTTCAATCACGCATTTGATGATGAAATTCGTGAACTGTGCAAAGGTTACCGCTCTTCCATGTTCAAGCACAATATTGTCACCCTGAAATTGAAATCCTTGATCATAGATATGTTTCGGTCCATCCTCTACGATCATATTGTGCATGATCACACAAGCAGTCATCACCTCCCACAACTTCTTAGTGCTCCAAGTTCTGGCAGGATACCGAACGATGACCCATTGAGATTGCAGAACACCAAAGGCACGCTCCATATCCTTCTTAGCACTCTCTTGCTCTTGGGCAAATGTATTCTTCTTCTCTCCTACAGGGTTGGGGATTGTCTTCACAAGAGTAGTCCAATGAGGATAGATACCGTCAGCTAGGTAGTATTCTTTGTTATAGTTGTGGCCATTGATCTCAACATTGACCTTTGAGCTGTTGCCTTCTGCAAGCCTTGCAAACACCGGAGAACGTTGATGCATGTTGATATTGTTGTGAGATCCTGCCATGCAAAAGAAAGAGTGCCAAATCTGTAGATCTTGTGAAGCCATAGCCTCGAGTATGACGGCGCAAGCTTTATCATTGCCCCCTATACTGCCCCTGCCAAGCAGAAGGGCAGTTCTTCCACTCCCAGTGCATACAATCTATATATACTACCAAGCATCCCCGAAAAGCCCCTGCTGGCATTCATCGCCAACCGGACTGTATCTGCAGCATTTGGCTCTCTCAAGTACTCAGGCCAAACATTGCTATCACAGTTCACAGCCTTGCAAAACCTATACATGGACTCTAGGCATGTGGACTCGCTCATATGGAGATACTAATCAATGAGATCACCGGGAACTCCCTATGCAAGCATCTGAATAGCTGCAGTGTATTTCTGATAAGAGGAGAAGCCAATCTTTCCAAGGGCATACTCCTACCACCCCCTCCTGGATACGGTTGAACACATTCTAGACATACAGAAACGGCTCCGGAATAGGTGATGTTTGAAGAGCGTGTTGGGGGTCTCGAAGTAGTCCTTCCAGAGTAGGAAATGACCACTCTCTCGGTTGCGATTCAACGCCAGAGTGTGCCCTGAGATCAAGCCCCGGAACATCAGCCGCTGCTTACTAAGGTGGTCATGGACGACCAGCATAGCAGACACAAATTCCTCATCGTCAGATGAATAATCATCCGAGTCGCCAATAAAATTGTGGAAAAAAATTGTCGGCGGAGTCCATTTGTACCTTGCGGGCAAACCGTCGAACAACTTGCGGGCGTCGTCAAAGAAGCTAGCCGGTGAAGAGCGTCATGACTCCCCATGACTTAGTAGCAGGCTCTGTCGGCGTTCGGCAAGCGTGGCGGCATCCGGCAAGCGAGGTCCCCGTGCTTTGTGTGCTTCAGGTAGGGTTGGGCGTGGGGCAAGGTGGTGCTGGCAGCGACGTCGGGGATGCTGCGGTGGCGGTGGGGCAAGGCGATGGTGGTGATGACGTTGGAAGGTGGCGTGTTGTGGGGGATGTATGTGGGTGCAGACGGCTGGCATGTGCATCGAAACTAGGCGGCGACAACGGGTGGGGCGGCCGGGTGTGCTTGTTGTCGATGAGGAAGATGGAATGGCCAATGTGCCACCGACTCACAGGCCAGAGGAGGAGTAGGCGGGCGTCGCACGCTTCCGTTTCATGTCTGCGCCAACACAAACGAGGCCCAAATTTGGGCTTGAAATGGGTCGCGCGACAGACAAAAAGTGGACGCATGTCTGTTTGGGTCTGCGTGTTGGGCTGACTTTTATATCCATTTCGACCCAAATGGACATGCGCAGACAAAATGGGTCGCCGCATTGGAGTTGAGCAACTCCAACACGGTGACCCAAAAGGATATCTATTTTGTCCGTTTGGGTCGCCAGTCCGCTCGGTCATGTCCGTTTTTTCATTTGGGTCGGCCGGTGCACCCAACGGGGTGGACACATTTTGTGACATGTTTGCCCCAGCATTCCGTCGAACACCTGGTGGGTGAACTGCCTCGAGCTCCCGCGTCGCCGCCTTGAGTTCCTGCACCTGATACATGTCCCGCTGCCGCGAGCTCCCGCCTCGCCGCAGCCGTGAGCTCCCACACCATCCGCATCTCGTTGTAGTGGCTTCGCTAGCACCGGCCACCATATGCGACGCACGCGAGATGCAGAGCTCCCGCATGCCACAACACGCGCTCTGTGACCGCGCGTAGCCGCTGACTGACCCACGCCACGGAGCTCGAGCACAGCGGCTGGGTGAGTGCGGGCATGGGAGCGTACACGGCTGAGGGCGCCCGCGCTGTTAGAGGGAAGATCGGCAACCACCCATGGCCACCGCGCGCGGGCTCGACGAGACTAGGCGCGCGTGGCCAAGAGAGCTAGTCGTGTGCGGGGAGGCGAGGTTGGGCGTGACATGGGGAGGCAAGGCGAGGCCAGGAGCACCGACTAGGCGAGTACGGGCATGGCCGGGCGTGCCCGTCCCGTGAGAGGGGAGGTCGGCAGCCACCCATGGCCACCACGCGCGAGCTCGGCAAGGTCGGGCGCGGCTAGCAGCGTCGGCCGGGGGCGGGGGAGGCGAGGTCGAGCATGGCACAGGGAGGCGAGGCGGGGCTAGCAGTGCCGACTGGGCGCATGAGAGGCGAGAGGCGTGACAAGGTGAACACGGCCAGGAGCGCGGCCTGGGCGCAGGCGAGGCGAGGCGAGGCCGGGAGCGGCGGGGCTAGTTGGCTAGTGAGCAAGGAAGGCAGGCGTGTCTGACTACTACTGCTCCTGCCCCGGCGACATGGTCACTGCGTCAGATCCCACCGGAGGAAGAGCTGCCGCACCATCGGTGTGCCCGGCTGCGTCGCACTAGGGCGTGCTATGCTATGTGCCAGTGTGGGTGAGCGAGAAAGAGAGGAAATAAGGAGAGAGAAAGGAGTAGGATGGGTGAACGAGCCCTTTTGTTTGGATGACAGATGGGCCAACATCGACGTGCAGCAGACGTAGCTAGACGAAGGGGACACAAAAAATTTCCGCTTTGTATCCACTTCGGACCCATTTTAGTCTCCAAGTGGAGACGGAGCAAACAGAAAATGGAAATGGGTCTGCGTGTTGGGCCTTGATTTTTATCTGAGCGGACGCAAACAAACACTGGTGGACAATTTTGGTCACTGCGTTGGAGTTTCTCTTATGTCTCATGGTTGCCCTTTCCCCCTCCATCTCTCTCCTTGTCCAAGAAATCTCGAGTAACTTTCTCCTCTTGACTGGGCATGAACAAAGAATCTTGGTTTTGGTTAAGGCCAACTCCAAAGTAGACCCCAAAAGGATGTCCGCTTTATTCGAACTTTGTCCATTTGGGTCAGGAAAATGGACGATCGTGTCCGGTTTTGTCGGTGTTCTGGGAACGGGGGTCCCCAGACTTGCATGCCTGCGGCCGGTGGCGTGGCTCAAGTGGGGGCCCAGCGCGACCCATCTTCATTAGCTCAAGCTCAAGACCCTCGCGAGGGGCCAAGCCTCGCGGGGCGGACGACCGGAAGCTTCCTCAAAGGCAGCCTCATCAGGCAGGCTCGCGAGGAAGCGGAGAGATCAAGATGGGGATACCTCACGAGGATCCCGTGACGCAAGCCATGACGATCGTGACCAGGCGGGCGCCGGCCTGCGCAGTGTCCTTGTTTCCCCTTTGGTGCAATGGGGGCAAGCACAGGCCAGTCCACCGGGCAAAGGTTACCATTCCGGTGCAACGAGACCAAGACCAGCAGAGCGGCAGGACAGAGGTCACCGTGGAGCCCAAGACAGCGTCATCACCAGTACTTTTGGCAGCCGAAGACCACCTTTGGTCAGGATAACTTGTACTATATGTTCCCCTTCAAAATGGCCAATTATTGGCGCCCTTCCTGCTCATTATTTGGGGAGAGGCCCAGGGCCTCTATAAGTAGAACTAGCCACACAGAGTAGAGGGACATCTAGAAATCTGGTAGAGCCCTAGCAGAGAGAGAGAGAGAGAGAGATGCGATTGAACTCACCCAAGCAGTTCATCTCACCAGCTCAAGAACACCTCTCGCGAGGCTGTTCTTCCCTTGTACTAATCATCATCAGCCCCTGAGGCAATCCACCACACCACACACTGGAGTAGCGTATTACACCATAACGGTGGCCCAAACCAGTATAAACCTTGTGTCCCTTGTGTTGTTCGTTGTTTCCAGCTTAGATCACGCGAGGAGATTGAACGTAGATCGGTAGGGGAGAGATCTCCGCGCGCATCCCAGTGTTCGAACCTCAAGGGTTTGCCGGAACCCGAAATCCGACATTTGGCGCGCCAGGTAGGGGTGCGTCGGAATCTTTCTTCTGCTGTTCGCGTACGATCTTTCATCGTGTCCATGGCTGACGCTCGTCGGGCTCGCGCCGAGCGCTGGGCTGCTCTCGCCACCCGCGTCGCCCAGACGGCGCCCGTCGGCGGGCGTTCTCATCGTTCCCCGTTGCCTGCCGCCAACGCCGCCACCGGCCCGGCGGGAAACGAGCAGCAGGCATCCTCCCAGCATCCTTCGGTCCAGCGGGAGGGCCGCATCGCCACACC